CCGCTATCATTTACCGAACAGTATCTGGCAATTACACTTGGGTCAGTTGCAGCTGGGGTGATACTTATCGGAATAGTTGTGGGCGCTATCGTCTACGTTATCAGGTAGCTAGATAATACAATGTAGATTGCTAACATTTCTTATTTTTCACTTCTAGAGCGAAACGATTAGAGGAAGAGCGCTTAAATCTTCTCTGGCAAATCCCGTTTGAGTCATTGGCCAAACCCAATGCGAAGGTAAGTTCAGCCCAAAGCTTTCCGGGAAAAAATTTATTTTGCAGTCTGGAGCACAAAGCTCTCGATCATTGCAAAGTTCGATGTCTACCAGTACAAAGTTGACCATTGATTCAAAGAGGGTACGTAGGTGCTAATAAGGTATGAAAAAGGAAATTAACTCATTTTTAGGACACCGTTGGACATAGTTTCTTCTTGCTTGGAAATGACTCTGTTGTCGCGAGAAAGCATAGAGTACGGACACTTTTGTCGAAATCTGATTGCGCGGATTTGCGAAAGGTAGAGTGGAACCCTCACATCGACTTTTTTCAAATGAGCCCTTTAGCTGCGAAGCACCGACCACGACAACCTTTGCCGATTCGTTGGCCTATGTATGGATGCTCCGGAGCTTCTTTCGCTTTGGAGATATTGCTCAAGAGGATCGTTAAAGGTACATCCAGGATCTGTGGAGTTTGTTTTATTTTCAAAAAGTAATGTTGCTACAGGATGTGATTGAAAAAGGATCACTGCAGATGGACTGGTTCTTCAAATATGCGCTTATCAGAGATATTTGCGAGGTAAGCTGATTTGACTACAATGATGCTGGAAGAATCAAAAATTCAGGCCGTTCATTTCCTTCACCATTCTTCATTTGGGGCACATGGCTGGTTGAGCTCCTGCACATGCCTGGTAGATGAAAGATGGCAGGTATCAAGTTATTTCTTTTGTTTATTATGGGAAGCACAATTCAAAATTCTAGGTAAAGGTTACCTACTACGGTTTGGACACTATCAAGTCTTTAGAAGTGAAGGAGCAAAATAGTGAGTTTGTGCTTTTCATCAAAAATAATTTTGGACAGCTCAAAAAAAGCATCTCTGGAGTTAATCATTTGCATTTTTGGTGCATTTGTGAGGACTAAATAATGAAACTCCTGTGGAAGTGTCATTTCATCGCCTTCATTCTAGCTGACTGAATAATGTCTCCAACAAGAAAGTTGCTTTTTTTCAGAACTGTTGTGGACTGCACCTGAGCACATACGTGATCCATTAATGAAAGCTACAAAAGAAGGAGATATTTACAGGTTGCAAATAATTTTTTTCAACCAACTCCATCAATTTCTTAATTGCAGTTTTGCCATCATTTGCTCGGAAATCGTGACCAAAAAGTCACCATGGGATTTGGAAAATCAAGAATACGACCTTGATGGTAATATTGGTTTTTCTTACATAAATTACTAGGCGCCATACTGCTCTCTTTTCAGAGCTAATTTACAAGATCAAAAGAGGTGGGCGAGCACCTATTCGTCCTTCGTTGGACACAGATGATGAGCACAACGCAAGCATGTCGCTGCTGATACGGGACTGCTGGGCTGAAGAACCTGACCAGAGGCCATCTACTGATCAGATCAAGTCGCTGATCAAAGGATTCAACCATAACAAGTAAGGTTTCTTCCCCCTATTACTTGTTTAAAATGCAAATTCCAGATCTTCAAACTTGATGGATCATGTCTTCAACGTTTTGGAACAGTATGCTTCCAATCTCGAGGAAGAGGTGAGTTTGTTTGTACATTTGCGTCTGTAGAAACCCTTGAGACACTGTCATCTCTCGTTCCCAGGTCCAAGCAAGAATGAAGGAACTGACAGAAGAGAAGAAGAAAAGCGATATTCTCTTATACAGAATGCTACCAAAGTGAGCAAATTCAGTAGCATATGTACAGACCATCCCACTGAGACTGTTACATCTTCAGTGGCTCGGGCCGTCTGGCGCGTGGGAGAATGCGCAGAGCTAGGCAACCGCGAACGCCCGAGTCGCTACAATTGT